GAATGTATAGTACATGAGAAGAGCAGAATGTAGAAGATGAGTCTGGAATGATAGGTTGGAGCCATGTTATAGACACACACACACACACATGCATGTACAAATGCACATCCACATACCTATACATATACATATAGACATAGATATACACACATATAAACATGCACTTACATACATATATCTACCTATTCCATACATTGAGCTTGAAGCTGCTTTCTTGTAACTCCCACTCATTATTTATGGTAAGAAGACCTGGGTTACAATACTGGCTCCAACACTTGCTAATTAGATGGCCAATCACTTAAGCCCTCCGATCATCAGTTGTGCAATAAGTTAAATAATACTATTTATATTATACTTTCTATCTTTGAATTTCCAACGCTTAGACCAGTACCTGGCACTAAATAAATGCTTGTTAGTTGATTGAATAATTGATAAGCTATTTCACAGAATTATTGTGGATAAATCATTTTATAAGCCTTATTATGCTAAAGAAATATAAACTATAATTATCACCATTGATAGGAAAAGCCACACCTTTCCCATTTCTCTCATCTCACCTTCTCAAGCCTTTCTGTTCTTCCTCATCTGTCCAGGACAATCCTAGCACCTCCCAAATAGGTCAATCAGTCATAGTTACCAACGAAGGGCCAAAACTTCTAGGTGCTCCTCTGATGTCTTTAAGGAGGACATCATGGTACAGTGCATGGAAGGAGCAGTGGATTTGGGGCCCCAGATTCTGGATGTCACTTACTACCTGTCTGACCTTGGGCATGCAACTCACCTTCTCTAGGCCTCTTGTTTTCTATTTATGAAATGAAAGGTTTGGACTAGATGGTCTCTAGGTTTCTATCCAGCTTTAAAACCTAGCTCCTAAGATCCTTGTTCCCCCCTTCCCCCCACACACACCTTGCCATGCATTCTTCTAATGCACAGATTTGACTACATTATTCTTCTGCTTGAGCAGAAACTCCAATCTCCACTGCCTACTGGAAATAGCATAAATTCCTAGCCTGACACTCATGACCCTCCATAAGCCAGTTCCAACCTATCTTTCAATCATATTCCCTTTATGTCTCCAAGCTCTTAGTAATAATAACAACAATAACAATAACAATAGCTAACATCAATATAGCACTTAATGAGGGAGCTAACTGGCACAGTGGATAAAGTGCCAGGCCTGGAGTCAGGAAGACCTGAATTCAAATATGGTTTCAGACGCTTGTTAACTTGTAATCATGGGCAAGTCACTTAACCCTGTTTGCCTCAGTTTCCTCATCTGTACAGTGAGTTGGAGAAGGAAATGGCACACCATTCCAGTATGTTTGCCAAGACAACCCACAAAGGGATCATGAAGAGTCAGACATGAATGAAAAACAACTTCACAACAATAATAATACATAGCACTTTAAGGTTTACAAAGCACTTTTCATATAACATCTCATTTGATCCTTACAGTAACCATGTATGGTAGGTGCTATTATGATCCCCAAATCATAGATGAGAAACCTGAGGTGACCAAAGTCACCCAGCTAGTGCCTGAGGCAGGATTTGAAATCAGGTCTGCCTGACTCCCTAATTCTTTCATCAGCTTACCAGATATTCATTCCATTCTACCCTTTTCTCCCTGGATGTCGTTATACACCCTGTTCCTCTTGCCTGGAATAGTCTCTTCTTTCAAGACCCACCCATTTCAGCGGTTACTGCTTCACTAGCAAGAAGTGATCTCTCCCTCCTTGAATCACTCCTACCTCCCAGAACCTCTCTATTTATTGTTACATACATAATATCTTGGTATAATTTATGGTGATTTATTTCATTCTTTGTATTCATATCACCAGCATCTCACGATCAGTCAGTCAAAAATTATTTAGTAAGCAATGTGTTAGGACCGATGCTAAACACTGGGAATACAAAGCAAAGCAAAAACCTAGTCTCTACCTTCAGAGAGCTTACATTCTAATACAGAAGACAACATGTAGATAACCAAGTACATACAAGATACATGCAAAATGGAAGAAAGACATCAGCAATTGGGGGGAGCAAAGGAACACAATCAGGGAAGATTTAAGCCTGGCACACAGCAGACACTTAATAAAGGCTGGTTAATTGATCCATTGTTGACTGTGTATTAGTTTGGTCTTCCTATTCGACTACAGGGTCTTTGAGGGCATAGGCTAGGACTTGTCTTACCATTACGTCCTCATTACCTGGCACAGCTACCCTGGACACAGCAGTCACTTCCTCTGAGAAGCCTTTCCTGGGTGTCCCAATGGTTAATGTTCTCTTCCTCCTCAAACGAGCTCATTTTGGGTTTCCTGCGCTCATGTTGCATCCCTACAATAGCTACCATGGCATGTAAGGTCTTTCAGGACAGAGGCTTTTCCTATTTTGTCTTGTTATCCTGAGAATCTAGCCTGGTATATACAAGAAGCACTTAATAAATGTTTGTAGAATGGAATGGACCAGACTGAAATGGAAGGTATAACTCTCAAGCCTGAGTGGGTTCAACTCATTATACGGACTGAATTGGTGACTCCCTCTAGGAGGCATGATGGATTAATACTCAGTCAAAAGACATTATTTTTGTACTCTTGAAGAGATTTTCCCACACGAAATCCTTGGAGCCAAAGGAAAGAAAGAATATTAAGACTTCCCCCATAATGGACACAATTTTAGAAGCTTTATTATTGCTAATAGAATGAGGTCCTTGAAGACAGAAACTGTATCATTGTTGTCTTTATACTCCTAGTATGAGGCTCAGTGTGTGGCACATAGTAGGTGCTTCATAAATCCTTGTTAAATTTTGGGGGAAAAATTTACCCACGAAGACAGTGCTGCCCATAGTCATGTGCCAGGACTTTTATTTATGCCATCTAATTAAAAATGCTTTGGTTGAAAGCCGTGTAGAAGCCACCATGGTATCTCATACAGTCCTTTCTCTTAATGATGCTGCTACTACCTCAAAATATGACCTCCCAAATTGGTCATTCCTCTTCCTTTGCCAACAGAATCACCCCATCCTCCCACTGTGCTCTAGGCATGACATGACTCTTGCAACTATTAAGCACTTACACTGTGTTTTCTGCCTTCAGGAGGTTTCAAAACATTAATTAGCCCGCCTAACACCTTGCAAAGGAGGGAAGAGTAAATATCATTAGTGTAGGAGGCACAGAGTTAAGTGGAGGAACCCTTAGGGGAGAAGGGAGCTGATGTTGCCAGGGAGGAAGTCTGGTGACTCCACACCTTCTCCCACCCCAGGGCTCAGACCCTTCCCTTCCCATGAGACCCCGACCCTCCACCCCAGAACTGGTTATTCAGCTGGCACGGATCAAGGATAGGGGACTAGTCAGTCATAGCTTAGGAAGCCCCAGTGTGCCCAGCCCACTACTGCTGGTGAAGATTGCTCAGCCAGCTCCTCTTTGGAGGATTTACGAGAGTTTCCTGTAAACAGAAAAGGCCTTTACTCTCTAACTATTTCTGTAATAATAAAAAAAAAAAGTTGCCCTGAATGCATCTTTTTTTTTTTCCTACAGCGCTTCCTCTTTTTAATGGTAAAAACATATACTGGGAAGGCTGCTTGGCCCCATGCTGAGAGGCTAACTTTTTTCCCTTTCTAACTTGAAATGTATTTTATTGGTATCTTCTGCTTTTAGATCATCTAGATTTCTCTTTCCTATCTCTCTCTCTTCCACCTCCCAGAGAATTTATTATAAAACAGTTTTTAAAAAGAGAAAAAAATTCAGCAAAACTGATCAATATTTTGAAAAAAAAATCTATCATATCCAATGTTTCTCATCCATGGACCTTCCACTTCCACAAAGGAGTTGGGGGAGGGGGTCTTCTAATAACTTTTCTTTGGGCCCAAGCTTGGTCTTTATAATTTTGAAGCATTCATCATAATTGAATTTTTTCCTTTTTTAGTCAGATTGTGATTCAGATAGCTGTACCATGTCCAGTGTAGTTTATGGGGCCATGGTTAGGGGAAGGGCATAGTCTGGACCCCTTTTCTCCCTCTTAGAACTTCCTAAGTTAGAGTTCCTTGACCCAAAGCACCCTAGTGATATTTCTATTACTACCCAGGTCACAATAGATCTTAGGGGAGACCTAGCCAAGGTGTGATTGCTCCTCTCTCTCTCTCTCTCTCTCTCTCTCTCTCTCTCTCTCTCTCTCTCTCTCTTTCTCACACACACACACACACACACACACACACACACACACACACACACACACACCCACATCTTTCCTCCATCTAATCTGTTGCCAAAGTCTGTCAATTTTCCCTTTGTAACATTTCTCATATATGCCTCCTTTTGTCCTCAGACACTGCCTCCATCGTTGTGCAGGACCTCATCACCTCATGTCTGGACTATTCCAATAGCCTGCTGGTAGGTTTCCCTGACTCAAGTTTCTCCACACTTCAGTCAGCTGTCAAACTGATTTTCCTAAAGTACAAGTCTGACTATTCCTCTCCTCCATTCAGTCAACTCTAGTGGTTCCCTATCACCCCTAGGATCAAATATCAATCCATTGTTCATCCCTCTCCTACTTTTCCAAGCTTTTTATACCTTACTAGCCACCTCTCCCCAAGAACTCTGAAATCCAGTGCTGCTAGCTCCTTGCTATTCCTCATACAAGACGCTCCATATCCCTACTCCAGACATTTTCACTCACTGTTTCTTATGTTTGGAATTCTCTCCCTCTTTAGCTCTGCCTCCTCACTTCCCTGGTTTCCTTCAAATCCCAGCTAAAATCTTGCCTTCTACACAAAACCTTTCCCAGTGCTAATGCCTTCCCCTCTGTTGAGTATCTCCTATTTGTCCAGGTATGAACATTTATCCTTGTTTGAATGCAGCTATCTGGATCATAGTCTGAAAGGGGAAAAAGAATTAAATTATAATAAATGTTTCAAAATTAAAAAGACCAACCTTGGACCCAAAGAAGAGATATGAGAAGACTCCTTCCCCCCACTCCTTTGGTGGTAGGGCCATGGGTAAGAAGCATTGGAAATAATGTCAGCTTATTTTTTCAATATATTGATCAGTTTTGCTGAATTTTTTTCTCTTCTTAAAAATTTTTTTATGTTATCTCCCCAGTTAGACTGAGTTCCTTGATAGCAGGAACTATTTAATTCAGTTTAATTTTTCTTTTGGCCTTTCTTTGTATACCCAATGCTTGGCACATAGTAGATACTTAATGAATACTTATTAGCTGACTGACTGGGGTCCTCTGAGCACAACGTCACACCCTCCAAGTAACTGGCACAACGTGCCCTATCTTATAAGGGCCATGTCTATGACACTGCAAGGGATGGGTGACCAGAATTATCTAGGCTGGTTGATTTGATTAAGTTAATCAGTCAAGTATCATTACTATGTGTTTTGTAGACTCATACTAAGTGACCAGAAGGGAGTTGTTCTTCCTGGCCTCATTGGGCAGCCAGTAAGTAGAAGTTGCAGAAAAGCAGACTTAAGCTCCATATAAGAAAAAAAGTCTGAAAATTAAAAGTATCCTAAAATGGAAAGGACTCCCTCAGGAAAGAGTGGTCTCCAAATAAAGACAGGAGGATCACTTGTTGAAGATGCTGTAGCTGGCATTCCTGTGCAGATGAACTAGGTAGACTAGGTAGCCCCTGAGGGCTTCCTTCAGCTCTGAGATTCTGAGATTCTAATTCTATGAATATGAACTCATACTCCTACATAAGTACAGGATCTGAATTGAAAGAGACTTCAGAGGACATCTAGTCCAACCCTTGCCTGAGCAAGAATCCCTCTATTAAACTCTGGCTTCTTTGCTATTCCCCATCTAAAACATCTCATCTCCTGCCTCCAAACCTTCGCCAAATAATCCTCCATGTTGGGGATGCTGTCCTTTCACCTCTCTCTTTTAGGTTCTTTAGCTTCTTTCATGTCTCAGCCAGTGTGCCACCTCTTAGTTAAAACCTTTCTTCCTTTTGCCCCTCATTAATGTACTCTTCCCCTGCCCCCACAAATTTTCTTTATATTTAATTGGGGTTGTTTTTATTTACTCATATGTGAACAAGTTTCCTGCTCCCATAGATATCCCCTTGAGGGCACAGCCATTTTATTTGTCTTTATTTTCCTAGTAGCAAAAAACTGTGCATACAGTAAACACTTAATGACTATTGGGTTGGAATAAAGTATATGGAATGAAATTGAACTGAAAGAACTGAATTGAATGAAATTGAATCAAATTTAATACCTAATAAGTAATAAACCAGGCTTTGCTTGACCGCCATTTGTGAAGGAAAAGCCATTACTTCACACAAGACATTCTCATTAAAGCTCATGGAATAACTGTTAGCTTTTTTTCATCTTATATCAAAGTTGAATCTGTCTTTGAGGCCAATTGGAACCGTTTTGATTCATCCTCCTCAAAAAATACTCTTTTAAGTGCTTACAGACAGTGATCATATCAGCCCCACCCAAGTCTTCTTCAGACTAAATATCCCCTGTCCTTTCAGCTGATCTTGGCACCTATTGAATGGTTTCTAATCTCATTCACATTCTGATCCACCTCTTCTGCAAGGTCTCTCATTTGTCAATATCCCTTCTGAAATGTGGTGTTTAGGGGATACTATGGTAAAGGGATATTCTTACGGCAAAAGAAATGGCAGTTATAAGGAGTTCTGAGAAACATGAAGAATAACTTGGTATAGTATAGAGGCTAAAAGAGCCAGTAAGGAAGAAAGGGTTAAAATCCCAACTTTGACACAAACATAGCCACTTAATCTCTCAGGGATCCCAGCCAACTCTCTCAGACTAGAAGTTGCAGAGAAGGTGCAGACCTGCATTGGTAGAGTCTTCTTACCTGGAAATTTCCTATACTGATTAAATCACAAATCAGGTCCCCATCCTTATTCTAGAGAAATATGTGAAGATTTGTATTAAATGATACAATATGAAATTAGCTGAAGAACAATATACATGGTGGCTACAATGATTTAAATGAAAAGGTCACTTAAAGGAAGTCAAACACTGGCTAGAAAACCTGAACTTTTTAAAAACTAATTTGATAACTGTATATCAATATTATTTATTTCCTTTGTAATGCTATGTATTCTACTTTATGCATTAAAAATATGATTCTAAGAATGTGCCCCTTTACTTTACCAGTCTGCCTAAAAAACCCAGGACACAAAACCATTTAAGAACCCATGGTCTCAGAGAGCAAAGAATGAAACATGGCTCTCGCTCTTGGCCAAGAGGTGGAGAGAATGAGGAGAGAATATTGAATACAGTGTGAGCTTTGGTTACCATATTGCTTAATTTTGTCTCTGTGTGTGTGTGTGTGTGTGTGTGTGTGTGTGTGTGTGTGTGTGTGTTTTAGAAAGGGGAAATTTAGTGGGGAAGGAGGTAGGGGAGAGGTATATCTAGAAATGAGAAGACATCAATAAAACTTATTTTAAAAAATATATCTGGTACTTTAAACAGAATATAGTATTTCAGAGAGGATCTCACCAAGGTAGAGTGTTATCATGAGTCTTCCCCTAGACACTAGCCATGTATCTACCATATGCCATTACTGAGTGTCTAAAGACGTCTTCATTCCCTTCTGGATAGTATGTTGTGAGCCAGATCTCTCAGTCATAATCATGACTTCAATCCACCAACCAACAAGCACCTATGGGGGGCTTATTATCTGTCAGGCATTGAGTGCTGGGGAGACAAAAAAGCAAAAATAGCCCCACACTCAACAAGTATACTTTCTAATACAGAGACCACATATGCATAGATACAAAAATTTTTAAAATATAAAAACAGAGTAGATGGAAAGTAGTCTTGGAGGAGAGGCACTAGTAGTTGGGGAGACTGGGAAAGGCTTCTTACAAGAAATGATCCTTGAAGTGAGTCTTAAAAGAAGGCAGGAATTTTACAAGGTCAAGGAAGAGCATTCTTGGGTTCATAATGGAAGCCAGAATGCAAGGAAGTGAGAGAAGACTACATTGGGAAATAGTCATCCAATGAGCCTTAGGGAAGACTTCAATACTGCTCCTGGAAAGAGTTGGGATGGGGAGAAATAGGATGAGAAGGAAGGCAGTGTTGGCAGCATAGAGCAGGGAGATAGCATTCAGTGATATGAGAAGCTGGGAAAGTTGGAAGTTTGGATAAGCCTCACCCAGAGGACTGGATGCTTATCCTGAGCCTACTACTGGTCCATCTCTTCAAAAGGTGGCTTCCAAGCCCGTACTTGCAATTAATCAAACATGCAATTACCAAATTGCTCACACAAATTGGGCGGTTAGTTGCCTAACCGCCCAATTTGTGCTCTGCCCGATGCTTCTTGCATGACCAACCTGGTAAGTAGGTGAGCAGAGAGACGAGTACACAGCCACAAATGTGAAGGAGAACTCTGGCCTACACTGGCCCTGGCTCAGGATGGTCTGGAGAAAGGGTTGGAAAGACTGAGGTCAGCCTCATTCACAGATATCACCACTTTAAGTTTTAGTCCTGGTCAGATGGAAAACAGAAGTTTAGAAAGAAAAAAAAAACAAACTAGTATTTGAACATACCAGAGCCACAAATAAGAGATGTTCCAAATTGGTTGTCAAAGTGGACCAAGGTAATCTGTTCTCTTTTTCTCTATGTGGCTAATAAAAATGGACTTAAATATTGGTTGGACTTAAAGAAGGAATGCAGGAAGGCTTTGTGCATGGAAAGAATGATGCAAAGAACCTTTACAAGAATCCCCATTTCTACCACAACGTGGCATCTTCCAGCAATTGCTCATTAAATTTCCCAGTACATTCTTCCCATTTCCCATCATTTCTAAGCCTGAGAAAGATTTCAAATCAAGAATATACTCCCATTTCCATCCCTCATCTTTCTGTTGGGTGTGTGTAGCAGGGGGCTCTCAATTGTTGATTTCCTTGTTAGATCACTTTCTCTATGTATCTGTTTTTTTTTCCTCCCCATAGAATGTAAGCTTATGAAGGTCAAAGACTGTTGCTTCATGTTTGTCTTGTATCCTCAGCTTAGCGCAGTGCTTCACACATAATAGATGCTTTGAAAATGCTTCATGGATAAATGAATGAATGTATGAATGGAAAGAGCCCTGGACTTGAAGTCATATGATCTCATTCAAATCCTAATTCTGCTACTTATTATCTGTGCGACCTTCAGAAAACTCTCTAAGCCTGCTTTTTTTTTTTTTTGCTATAAAATGAGGGGCTTGGACCAGATGACCTTGGAGTACCCAGATCTAAGATACTATGACATACTATGAAACTACAACCTTGATGACCTCCGGTAAGTCACTTAACCTCTCTGTGCCTCCATTTCTTCATTGACAAAATAAGAGGATTGGACATCAGGCAGTGAAGGATCCTTCTTCTCTAGAGCTGCCATCCTATGAAAATCCCACTGGGGCCAGTGCTACTAAGTAAAGATCTGAAATATCAGAAGGCCTTTCTCAAAGATAGCTCCCAATTTCTCAAATTGGACAGATGAATAAGGGTGTGTACTTAAGTTTCAGAGATACATATAGCTGAATGTCAGGAAAAACTTCCACTGTGCTAGGCATGGTCCAAAAGTTGAATGAGCACCTTTGGAAGGTAATGAGTGTCCCATCACTGCAGGTCTCAAGGCTTCCACTGGAAGACCGCTTGCTGGGGGTGCTGTAGAAGGGACTTATGTACAAATACAAGTTTCTGAAGTTCCTTTCACCTCTGAGGGTCTGTGATTCTACAATAAAAGATTCCACAGATACTCACACACTACTGAATCAGTCTTTGCCAAGCCTGGGGCCCACTGGCTAGAACTGTCCTAGGAGCCCCAGGCTACAATTCTAGGTTCACCTCCTCTGAAAATCCTTGTAATGAAACCAGGGGGAATATTTACAGAGGGTTTTTATAGCCCTCGAAGGCTCCATTAGATTCTTCTATATATAAAACACCCATTTCAGCTAAACCCTCTAAATTTGGAGGAGGGACACTAATGATAAAGATGCATATTTATTCAGACTGCTAAAAAAAAAAAGAATCCTAGATTTAGAAATGGAGATCTTAGCAATTATCCGGTCTTGCCCCACCACCCTCTATTTTAAAGAGGAAGAAACTGAGGTGTAGGAAGTTGTAATAACTTTGAAGCAAATAGGATTTAGAGCTGAAAGTGAGCCAGGATATCATCCAGTCTTTTTGTTATTGTTATTGGATGATTTTCAGTCCTGTCCAACTCTTCTTGACCCCATTTGGGCTTTTCTTGGATAAGATAATGGAATGGTTTGCCATTTCCTCCTCCAACTCATTTTACAGCTGAGGAAACTGAAGCAAACAAGGTAATTTGACTTGCTCAGGGTCACACAGCTAGTAAGAGTCTGAGGCCAAATTTGAACTCAGGTCCTCCCAACTCCAGGCCCAGAGCTCTATCCACCTAGCCAACTAGTCACTTTTCACCTAGTTTAGCCCCTGTTCATTTTAGAGAAGAGGAAACTGAAACCTTGACAGATGAAATTATTCAAGGTCCCATCACTGAGATGTAGCATACTTGGAATTCAAACTCAGAACCCTAAACCCTAATCCAGGGTTCCTTTTATAACAGCATTCTATAAACTCATAAACTTCTTCCAGCTCAAAGAAGGTATACGATACCCATCTTGTCCTTTTCTCTCCCTTTTCTACTGCCCAAACAGCCCATATATTACTAGTGACCTGGAGATCTGTTTGTTTTGTAACTAACTTCACACCTAAGGTGAAAAAGAAGGGAAAGATGATGGATAGAATGTTCTCTGAGCATAGCATACTTAATACCATTTAATATTACATATGGCCTGTTTCTGATCTGATCATGTCACTCCCCTGCTCAAGAAGCATCAATAACTCTCCATTGCATTTAGAATAAAATGTAAACTCCCCCATTTGGCATTTAAAGCCATTCTCAATTTGACTCCTACCTATCTTTTCAGGTTGATTACACAGTATTCCCTTCTATGTCCCAGGAAAACTATCCTGCTTTTTGTTCCTCAAATACTACATTCCATCATGCATCCCCATACCTTTGCATTAGACTAGAACCCTCTTCCTCCTCACTCTGCCTCTCAGAACCCCCTCTTGGAACCCTGAGGTCCTTTCAAAGCTTAATTCCTTAAAGAGGCTTTTTTACTGATTCCTGATCCTCTAGTGTTCACCATCCAATCACTTTGTATACATAATAATATTTTCTGTGAATGCGTTGCAACCTTCCCTCCTACCCCCAGTGGGATATAAACTCCTTGAGCTCTGGGATGATTTCACTTTTGCATATTTATACCCATTGCCAAGCACCCTGGCATATACTAAGCACTTAATGAATGTCTGTTGATTAATTAGTTGGCCACCCTATATGAGTCAGATGACCAGTGACAAGGAAAATTAAAAATAAGTCCTCATCGATGGTGGTGAGATGTATGGTTTGGTCCATGGATATTCTCTATGAGTGCCAGCCTGTATATGTGCCAGTTAGGAACCCAAGAAATTACTCAAGTAAGATCAATAGAGTTCATTTTCCAAGTGAGGAAATGGAGCCCTAGAAAGGGTAACATGACTTACACGAGACCATATAGTGAATTAGCATATAGTCCTTGACTAGAAACCAGGTATTCTGCCCCCTGACCCACTATATTTTCTGCTACATCCCAATTAACTCAGCTTAGAAAGCGTAAGTTGAATTTGCCATGTGCAGGATAAATAATACACTATCTGTGTTCAAGGAGCTTGCAATCTAGTCAGAGCTCTAAGACATGGGCAAAAATAATAAAGGAACAAGGTCAGTCAGGCAATAAAAATTAATTAAGCACCCACTATGTTCTAGGCACTGTGCTAAGTGCTGAAAAGACAAGAAAGGGGCAAAAGACAATCCCCCCTCTCAAGGATCTCACAGTCTAATGGGAGAGACAATGTTCAGACAGCTATGTACAAACAAGCTATATATAGGATAGGCAATAATCAACACAGACAAGGCACTAGAATTAAAAGGGATCAGGAGAGGATTCTGGCAGAAGGAGGGATTTTGGAGGTGCTTTGAGAACAGAGACGGGGAAGATCAAGGAAGGCTTCATAGAGAAGGCATCTTAGCAGACTTCAAAGGACAGATATGATTTGGACAGACAGATTTGGGAAGGAGCATGCTAAAGGTGGTGTTAGAGCAGGGATAATTTTTTTAAATGGGAAAGAATAGGGCGGGGCTGGGGATATGAAGAATGGAAAGTATCATTCTTGTGTGATGAAAATCAGGGTCTAGTCAGAATTAAGATTTGGAGAAATAGGATGAGTCCCATAATGCGGAGGTCTTTAAATGACATTCTCATGAAATTAGACTTTATTCTGATAGTCAACAAGTGTGGATTAAGTTCCTACTATGTGCTGGGCACTGGCCCTAGTGCTGTGTGTAATCAACAGGAAGCTACTGAAGGTTTTTCAGTTAAGTAGTGACACACAGGCAGAGAATACAAGAGCTGGAAAGGGACCACAGAGAGCATAGATCTGTGTAAGGAGACAAAGGATGAGTCTCTTCTTGTGGTAGCTCCCCTACAATTTGGCGCTAGGTCTTACCTCTAATACTCGTAAGTATTTAATGCATTAAATTGAGTCAGTCTCCAATATCAGAATAACACAGGGGACATTTTTTCAAATGAGCAATGTAACGCTTCACTCCAGCAGCCCTATGCAGGTAGGATCCTGTGTAGAGGTAGAGGTGGCATCTCTAAATCAGCATTCTTGGGAGTCAGTAAAATCATGAAGGGCATACGGGGGGGTGAGCATGGACTTCTTCACCAAACCCCAGAATAGTAGAACTAGGGGAACTTGCAAGTTCCCCCTTGAAGCCTGAAAGAGGTAGTTTTGAGGCAAATAAAAGGAAGTCTCCCGTTTGCATAACAGGGAGTCAACTTATGGAATTTGTTTCCCCAAGAAGTGGTATGGGCTAAAAATGTGACCTAGTTCAAAGAAGGGTCAAATAAACTAACAGATGAGAGAGCGTGAGTGAGCTATTAAAAACAGAAGAGAGAGGGGCAGAGCCAAGATGGCGGAGTGAAAGCAGTGACTTGCTTGAGCTCTCCTCCAAACCCCTCCAAATACTCATAAAAAAAATGGCTCTAAACAAATTCTGAAGCAGCAGAACCCACAAAAAGACACAGTGAAACAAATTTCCAGCCCAAGACAACCTGGATGATTGATCAGAAAGGTGTATCGCTCTGGGCTGGGAGTGCAGTGCAGCGTGGGCGCTCAGGCCTCCGCAAACCTGGAGCAGGCCTCAGAGGACTGAATCGGGCAGCTGTGGAGGTTTCCAGACTCCTCAATCCACAATGCCAAAGACAACTTAGAAGGTCAGTGGGAAAAGTCTGTTTCTGTCGGTGCTGAGACAGGAAGGGGGTTTCAGCTCCATTCCCCAAGAGTGGCCCTGGGGGGGGCAGCTGCTTCCCGAGCTTCCAGCCCACAGACTGAGGGGGAATCCAGTGGCTGATCAGAGAGGGATTGCAGGGGTCTCTTTGCTAGTGCTGAGGCAGGAATCGCTTGCTTTGCCCTGTTTGGATCTGGGTCACAGTTCTGGCGGCAGTGCTGGGGTGAGGAGGACTGGCATGGTGGAGCTTGTAGTGGCTGTGGAAGGAACCCTCCTCACAGTTACAGGACAGAAAGGAATACTTGTGGTCACAGGCCAGGAAAGGAGTAAACACCTCCCTTATCATACCACCTTGGAAGAACTGAAAATTTACAGGTCCCTACAAGTATCTCTGAAAACAGCTGTACAAACCCCTGAAGCTTGGGACAGTACATTCTCCACATTGGAAGCAGACTCTTACCTTAACAAAGAGTTTAAAACTCAAGTAATTGGCTGGGATCATGAGCAAGCAGCAAAAAGAGTCAGATATAATCTTACTTTGGTGAAAAAGAAGATCAAAATATACAACCAGAAGAAGACAACAAAGTCAAAGCTCCTACATCCAAAGCCTCCAAGAAAAATATGAATCAGTCCCAGGCCTTGGAAGAGCTCAAAAGGGATTTTGAGAAGCAAGTAAGGGAAGTAGAGGAAAAACTGGGAAGAGAAAGAGTGATGCAAGAAAATCAAAAAACAAGTCAACAGCTTGCTAAAGGAGACCCAAAAAAATACTGAAGAAAATAACACCTTAAAAAATAGCCTAACCCAAATGGCAAAAGAGGTCCAAAAAGCCAATGAGGAGAAAATGCCCTAAAAAGAAAAATTGGCCAAATGGAAAAGGAAGTCCAAAAGATTACTGAAGAAAATACTTCCTTAAAAATTAGAATAGAGCAATTGGA